GTAAAGACACATCAGCATTGGGTTGTGTAAGTTCGATCATTTCTCTTTTCTTTAAAATTTTCCTTTTCTAGTTTTATTTTCATTGATTTGTTTCTTAATGAATTTTGGAATCGCTCTGTCAGGTGACGACCCCCCCCAACATTCTTTTGATTGTTTGGCAGCAATTTAATTGTATATTAAACATTTTTAGATCAGTAGGTGGTTAAGTGATTTACTGCATTCTTTATGTTGCACGAAGATGGTATTTTTCTAAGCCGTTTTTTAATATCCCTCTATGCTTTTTAAAAGCTTTCTTTACATTAGGACTGTTACTTCCTTTCCTTGTTAAAAGTGTGTCATTGTGTCACGTCATTTGAAACACCCAGTTCAACTCAGAGGTCTGTAACTTAATCAATGAAAGGTTGGTCGACAGTCCTAACATTATTAACAAACTTAATCTTGTTTCTGAATCACCTTAGCTTAATGGTAGGCAGGGAGAGGTGGAATCCTAGCTGTTAGCCACATGTCTTCTTGGAGTCTCTCCCTCTGATACCCGCAGCCGTGGGTGCAGGCCAGCTGGGGGGTCACTCTGTAAGTTATATAAATGTCTCATCAGTGTGCTGTGCACTGGAAACTAGTATGTTGAATATTAACTCTAATTGAAAAAAAAATCCAGAGGAATAGATCTGTTTTAAAAGGGAGAATTTGCATATGAACAAAACAATCAGGAACTAGGAAAAACAAGCTTCGGTAGGCTGTAGAATATTTTATATGAAGGTAATAGGTAACTGTTTTGGGGAACAAATATGAGAAGTATTTTCACTCTTTATATTTTTATTAGAGAACAAAGTATGGGTCTGTGGAGACATCTGATTACATTCTTTATTTGAGATCCTGACAGATGAGTTTTGCCTAGTCTTTTATATAAGTAAATAGAAGTGAAATGAAATTATTACATAAAATGAAGTAAATAAGTAGACACGCTCATATACATGTATATGTAATATACATACCTCCCAGAACAGCACTACTCGAAGTGTGTTCTGCATACCATTGTGGGTCTGTGATGGATAAGCATTTTGAAACTTCATAGGAATTTCACATTGCCATCACCTTGTTTTTCTTACACTTTACAAAAGTGCTAGTCTGCAAAAGGTAGTAGCTCCTTCTTTCTCTCTGCTGCAGATTCCATGTATAGATGAACGAAAGCATTAAAAAAACACCCCTTAACTAACAAAAAAAAAACGTATAAGAACAAGGCGACCAGAGGGGAGAGGGAAGTAAGGGAAAAAGGGGGAGGAAAAAAAAGGGGGGGGGGAGGGAGGGAGGAGACCAGGCGGGGGGTGGGGTGGGATGGGAGAAATAGATAAAAAAAAATGTACTTGAAAAGTAACTAAATAAAATTTAATATTAAAAAAAAAAAGTGCTAGTCTGTGATGCATTGGAAACCTAAAAAAATAATGTCTTTCATTATCAGGTTGTTTGCTTAGAACAGGCATTTATATGTTAATTTGTTTCGTGCAGGGTGTAGCCGGCAATCCTATGGTGAAGTCTGTGCTTGATAAAACCAAACATTCCGTAGAAAGCGTGATTACAACGCTGGACCCTGGCATGGCTCCATATATCAGTATGTACGAAACATAGATCGGCATCTGCCATACTTTTTAAAGTGTGCCAGTGTTAGCCACCGAGTGTAATTCCACTGATCGCTGGAAATCCTCTTATGTTCTTAAGTTGATTGTGAAGTCTTAGTCTTGGTATTTTTAATTCATCTTTTTCTTAGTCACCATTAAATGCACTTTGAAAACTTCTCAGAATAAACTTTGGAGGACTAAAAAACAATATGCAGTATCAGTATACATCCTTACTCATTCTAGTTGTAAATGTGGTTAGCGTTGCTGTATATGATTTTTACTTTATTTGTCATTGATATTCGAAGTAATGCTTTGTTCATGGTTTCAAGGTTTCTCCAGTTATCCATTTTAAGTAAGTCTGGTTATGCTTAACTTAGTTGTAATATTTTTAGGGGAAGTTAATCTGTTGATTAACACTATCTGATTATTAGGTTTTTTGAAATCTGTTTTCACCACTTTTGAATCCTCATTACCAAGAATCCTCCAGAAAGTTGACATAGACATGTTGTCTGCCCTTTAAGTCCTAATGTATATATTGAGTATATGAAAAAATATGATAGTTTAGCAGTATCAGTGACCAATTATTAGTAATCCTGTTGAAGATAACTTAGAAGCCAAAGCTGTGTACCAGGTACCTGAATGCAGATTTTCAATGGCAATAAAAGGTCAGTAGCCTTAATGAGTCTTGATAACACTTTACTATCTAGTAAATGTCCAGGGACAAGATCTAACAATGACAAGTACTGTTTATTAAGTGCTTGGCTTTGCCAGGCACTGATTCTCACAAGAGCTCTGCAGGGTAGGTATTATTTTCCTCAAGTTTTAGATGAGAAACCTGGGTTCAGAGAGATTTCAGTTATCCTGCATCACACAGCTTGGTGGGGCTGGACTGAACCCATGTTCATTTTTTTTACACCTAGCCATTTTGCTTTTATGGAAGTAGAAAATTGAATCAGTCATTAAGTCAGCTGAATTATTCTTCGTGTTTGTAACTGCCAAAGGATTTAGAAATCAGGCCCTATTACTATATTGATTTTATATATTCATAATAATTAAGTTTGACAATGATGCATCATGTATATTTTCCACAGCTCCTATTTTGAATGAAAGGAAGTATTTTGGAAGCTCTTACTATTTTAATGGGTACTATATTAGACTGTAAAAACAATTATTTTATTTATTCTTAGAGCAAGCCCTCAGAAGAGATAGATATTTTTTCTATGGAACAATCTCAGTGACTTCCCCAAGATAACAATGCTAGAAAATGGTAGTTAGGACTCAAATCCAAGACTGTTTCTCATGCTCATAGTCTGCATGACATCAAGAAGCAGGAGAAATACCAAGGCGGGGGTCAAGGGAGGAGAGACACAAAGTGAAGTTTCTGTCATTCAGTAATATCACAACTTAAATCTTAATCAGCTTTAAAGGGTAATAATGAGTGTGGAAAAGCTGACATTTTCTTGACAGGCAGTAAGACCATTCTTATCTAATAAAACTCAAAGGGAAACATGGTATTTTAAATCAGTTATTCTAGAAATGACTTAATACTTTTAAATGTATCAAAATGGCACATGAGTGATTAGAAATGGATTTTAACAGAGTTTAACTTTCTACATTCTTTTAATGCTCCTTTTGTTGTGAAAGCAGCACTAAGCAAAATTTTAGTGGAGTAGTTAGTACTCAGCAAGGGTCAAGGAAGATGTCCCACATGGAAGAAAAAAATGAGAATAGTATACTTCTCCTCTTCTCCCTTATGTGAGCTAATTAGTTCTAGTACCTTCTGAAATTCTGGCAAAGATGGGATCTGTGGAATATTATGTCAATCAGGAATAAAAGGTATCCATAATAGAAAACTCACACTTGGAAAATATTTACAACTGTTCCACAAGAAAAACAAAGCATTACTTTGGGGCAACATGTTTTATAATACAAACAGTGTTAGGTCAAGTTTTTAAAAATAATGAGGCATATTTGATCAAATTAGTGTAGAACACCAGTTTTGAAGCAATTAATTGAAACATTAAAAATGTTCTAAAATATTTTAATTTCATATTGCTCTTAGTCTTTTTAAATTTCAAGTTTTATGAAAGTTGGTTTTTTTTTTAAATTTTATTTAGTTATTTTTCAAGTACAGTTTTTTGTCTATTTCTCCAATATATGCTTGCATATTTGTGTTAGGACAGTAAGGGAATATGTCATTTATAAATACCCATTTATTTGTGATATATGCCCTGCTCTTTCAGTGATGGGGATGTATAATATAAAAGTATAACTCCCCCGTTTTAAGCTATTTTCTAGATGAGAAGCACATTTCATGGTAGTCCCCGTGCAGTGCTGAACCTCTGTGCTGCTCTTTGACCAGTCGTCATACCAGTAACAGTCACGTCCGTGCTCTATAAGTACAGTCTGATTATCCCAAATGTGTAAGTCGTATTGCACAAGCCAGAACATTTAGTTCCTGTGCTTGCTGAAGGACTGGCATCTGTATGGTGTTAGAATTTTGTGTATGATAGATGCCTGTCTATATTAATTAGCGGCAGAAACACCATTTTGATTTAAAATCTTAAAAATGCAAGAAATTTGTCTATCTAAAATTTAAACTAATCAGAACATGAAACCTGGCCTAAATTAATAAAGTACTATTATAGAAAAATTGTTTTCAGAGTGGCCAATTTTTTTACATTAATATTAGGAGCTGTTATTAGAGGCTAAAAATGTGTTCTGTAAACAGAGGAAACATGGAAAGTACTGGGTTAAAGTAATGATTTTTAATTGTTGGATTTCTCAGAATCTATATGCTAATTTGCATTGTAAATTTCCAAGACAGAAACACAAGCTTGAGTAAGCATCATCTCCCAAGCTTGTTTGACCACAGCACACTGTTTGCAGGGAGAGCTACTACTATATCCCACATATAGTACTGGGAATGTCTGTCCGCCCAGGAACGGATAGATACTTTGCGTCGAACTGGAACAGTATTTCATAGAATACAGAACAGTGTGGGGCCATATTTGAGGCAGATATGTAGTAATCAGAAATGTTAGAAGGTATGTGCCATCTTCTGCTTGCAAATAGACTCTTTCAGATAATGCATTAAATTCTTATTTTTAAAACTAAGGAAAATTGCATACTTCTTGCTCAGCTAAGCTCTTTCTGGAATAAGATGCCTATACCTTACATAATTGTGTGAGCTTAGTCATAATTATGCAAATAAAAAGTTTATGGTAGTAGTTATGAGAATTTCATTACGTTAACTTGGAATCAAATTTCCTTCTGGTCTTTGTAGAGTCTGGAGGTGAACTGGATATTGTTGTGACCTCAAATAAAGAAGTAAAAGTGGCCGCCGTGCGGGATGCCTTCCAGGAGGTCTTCGGCCTCGCTGTGGTGGTGGGGGAAGCCGTTCAGCCCAACATCGCCCCACAGCCAGTGGGCTATGCCGCTGGATTGAAAGTGCGTGATGTGATGGCAGACCTGTGGGGTACAGACACGGGCAGTTAGTCTCTTCCTCATTCTGGCAGTAATTCTGTGGTCTGGGTGGAGCAACTGGTTTTACATAATGAGATGGTCACCTTGGTTTTAGTTAGGTGACTGTGGTATGAAGATCCAGTGGAGTTTTAATTTAAAGAAACCTACAGTGGGTTTGACTGTTGGGGGAGGGGAGGAAACACATGCAGGGAGCACAACAAGAAAGAAAGTAGTTAGTCCTAGCACTGGTTAGTCCTAGCACTGGTTAGGACTAACTAACTGCTTAGTGAGTTAACTAACACTTAACCCATTGTTAACATTCAGATCAATTACTAAACCTGTAATAATTCTCAAGTCCCGTAAGTTTTCTATTAATACTACTATTAATGATGCTTTAAAGTTAATTTTTTTTTCATGGTTAGGTTCCAGTGAGCCTCTAGTCACAGCATTTTTGTCAGGTAGTCAGTGCATAACTTTGTTTTATGTCTACTTCTGTTTAAATCCACTTTAATGTATATGTACCTGGTTCATTAACATTGAAGTCTCACAGCTAACAACATTATAACTCATGCCCAAATGAGGCTTATCTAACATTCATCCTGTCTCCATAAGGTACATCATGGTCTTCTGTGCTTAGCAACACTAGACAGCACTTCAGCCCTGTACTTGGGAGCCATTTTAAAACAGCAGGGTCACCTTGGAAAAAACAGGACTGAAAAACAGCACTAAACAATCTTATTGAAAAACCAATCGTAGTTACGACCATTGTTGAATAGTTTATATTTAATCAATATAGGTGTAGTTAATACCTACAATTAAAAAACACATAATTTCCTTATATTAGCAGCCATTTAGAACATAGAAAATAAAAACAATACATTTCACAGTAGCAAAACAGTAACGCATATTAAAATAATTAGGAAAGTACACTCGATGGGACTTTGTCACATCTTGTCTTCTGTATTGCTTGAATGTTTATAACGAGTATATATGTATTTGTGTAAATATATAAATTTATTGCCTGTGTACCCATAAATTGGTATACTTAATAATGAATAACTTAATAATGAATAACTTGAATCAGTTTCTAACGTGCACTTGTTACTATTCAGGGAGCCCAGGAGCGGATAGATACCTTGCGTCGAACTGGAGTGATCCATGAGAAACAGATTGCTGTGTCCGTAGAAAACTTTATTGCAGAATTGCTACCTGACAAGTAAGAGGCTTGCTTTTGTTTTCAGTTACAGATTTTTCTTATAATGAGAACCCTTAAGATCTGTCTTAGTAACTTTCAGGGATACAGTATTATTAACTACAGTCACCATGCTGTGCATTACATCCCCACCACTTAAGTTACAACTGGAAGCTCATACCTCTTGATCCCCTTCACCCACTTCCAACCATCACAGGTGTGTTCTGTGTGTCTCTTGAATTTCATTTTAAAATTTCTTTAGATTCCATATATAAGGCAGATCATACAATATTTGTGTTTCTCTGACTTGGTTTCCTCAGCATTATACCTTCAGGGTCCATTACATGGCACCATTAATGGCAAGATTTCCTTCTTTATGGCTGAGTAATACTCCAGCCACAAAATGTTACTCATCCATCAGTGGACACTTAGGTTCCATGTCTTGGCTCTTGTACAGAATGCTGCATGGGGGTGCAGGTATCTTTTAGTATTTGGTAAATGCTCAGAAGTAGAGTTGCTGGGTAGGGTATTCCTATTTCTGATTTTTTGAGGCAGTGTCATACTGTTTTCTGTAGTGTCTGTACCCACTTATATTCCTACCAACAGTGCATAAGGAGTCCCCTTTTTCTCCACATCCTTCCTGCCCACAGGTGTGATTTCTTGCCTTTTTGATAATAGCCATCCTAACAGGCATGAGGTGGTATCTCATGTGCTTTGCATTTGCATTTTCCTGATGATTAATGGTGATAGAGCATCTTTTCAGGGCATCTAGTGGTTTTATGATTCTGTTAGTTAAAATGCTGGTGGTGTTACAGTTAACTTCATGTAAGTCAATTTAGAAGTATCTTTTAAATGGAAAAAATTTTTTGATTTCATGAAGCTGTTTTCATTGTGATTCATTGTGAACAATTCAGAAAATGTAATAAGAAGGATTTATTTCCTCTGAGCTTATTTTTGCATTTACTAATAATTTTTCTAGTTGTTTGTATATTAGTGATAGAGATAGTAATAGAATATTTCCTCAGGTGACATTTAAAAAGTATTACGCATGACAGACTATTTGTATGTTGTTGCATTACTTGAACTTCATCATTGACGGTTGCCACTCTTCCCTCTCTCTGGGGCAGGGAGCGGGGTGAAGTTGGAAGGTGGTAGTAAGAAGGAAGAGAACTGAAAGTTTCCTCAGCCAGCGCACTAGTGAAAGAGACAGAGGTTGGGTGGACATGACAGGTGTCGCAGTTTTAGACTTGAGAAGAACGTGATACCCGGGTTGACAGGTTCAGGAGCACGATAGTAGTGGGTTGGCCAGAAAGTCTGTTATGTTTTTCCGTAAAATGAAAGACACAGTTTTCATTTTCACCAATAACTTTATTGACTTGGATATTTTGACTTGGGTATTTGGATATGTCGGTCGTGTTGGCTACTAGTAGGTAGAGGCCAGGGGTGCTGCTCATCATCTTCCAATGCGTAAGCCAGCCCCACAGCAAAGAGCTATTTAGCCACAATGTCACCAGCACCAAGGAACTTCACAAACCACTTCTGACACATTCAGTCAGTCACGGCACCTTCTTCATATACTGCACAAATTTTTTTTTGCATTTCAATTGAATTTTATCTTTCTTGCAATAATTAAGCATTATATGCTGAAATGTTGCATATCTTCTTCCATCTTCAATATTAAAATGGCTGTATAAAATATGCCAATTTTGATAAGGTTTTTCTTTTTATAATGCACATGGATATGGCAGCTGTCACAATACAGTCTAACAAAATTGTTTCAAATGAAGTTACAGACAGCTAAGCACTGTTAGAGCCATCGCATGGCTCTAACTAAATGCACTCTTAGGCCAATCTGGTATTTTAGAGAACTAGGGGGACCTTGGCATTCTCTAAAGTGTAGTCGCTGGCATTGCTGTGAACACACATTCAGGGCATTACTTGAGTCCTCTAGTCTCACTCCTTCTCCTTGTCAGCCAGAAAAGGAACTTGATGTATTTTTGGTGTGTGTTCCCATTCTTTTTCTCCTGTTGGAATTAAGCCAAGAGGGGACTTTTATATATTGTTTTTGTGGATTCTCTTGAAAAATGAATTAAAAAATATTCCTTTTTTGGAATATTTCTTCTTTACAACCTGCTAATATTTTTATTTGGATGATATTGCTTGTTATTTTTTTATTTTATCTGTACATTAAAACTTTTATTTAGCACATAACTCAAAATTCGTATTCTGTCCTAGATGGTTTGATATTGGTTGTGTGATAGTTGAAGATCCTGTTCACGGCATTCATCTAGAAACGTTTACACAAGCGACACCCGTGCCTTTGGAATTTGTGCAACAGGTTAGTTTTCTCTTTTTTTTTTCATTGTGCTCCAGGGAAACTTTTGATACTGTCTTCAAAATAAGTGTGGTTAGATTTTTTTCCACTGGAAATAGCCTTTTAGCATTTTTCATTTTCTTCTGTGTTTTAGTACCTCCCTACTTTTGTTTTCGGAAGGGCAGTAAATTATTACATGGTTAGTCATTATTTTTCTCTTTTTTTAATTTTTATGATTGTGTTCTTTACACTCTGATGGAAAAGACTACCTCTTCTGTTTTTTCCCCCACCTTCCCCTTAGTTTCAAATCCTTTATCTCAGATTTTATTTCCCCTATTACTTCATTCCCCTTATCTTGATCTTTATTTTCTTCATCTTTGGTATTAAGTAGAAACCTTAGTGAAAGGCATGTGTCTTTACCTATCCCCATAGTTACTAGACTGTAAGCATAAATGTATAATGACTTTGGTTCCTTTTATATTTTTGTACCTTAAATTCTTTCTTGAACAAAGTAGAATGCATTTCTCCATTCATAAAATTTCTATCACATCTGTACTTGTGTATTTTGCCAAATGTCATCTCAAAACTTTCTCTTAAAGTTATTTGGGAATTTGAGACTCTGGTCAAGCTATTGGATTCTCTCCCAAGCAAACACACGTACTCACTCCATATAAATTTGATATATGTTCCTAGAATCCCTGAAAGCACCCTGTGGCTGTCTTACAGCTTCACACTGTAGATGGGAACTAAAAATTCATGCTTGAAATTTTATTGAACTGTTTACTTATACCACAGTTTTTGCCATAATTTCTTTTTAGAAGTACAGCCAAGCATTTTTATGGATGCTCACATTAAACTCACTTCAATATGAAGGTGATTACAATATTGCAAACAAATATTACATATACTGTTATACCAATAAATTAGAAAAATCAGACAAAATGGTTAATTTCCTAGTAAATTAAGAATTGCCACAGGTGATTCCGGAATAAGTACTAGGTTCAACCATTTGAAATTGCTGTCTTTTAAGTCCAAAACAGTTACATATGGTTCAACCTTAATCACCTCAATGAAGCTTTCCAAAAGTCATCTTACCACCATAAGACATCTTTTATCAGTTAGGAAATTACCAGAGTTTTATTTCTGGCATCCCTGCCAGAAATAGGGATGAAGACCCAATATGTATTTTTTATTATAAATTGCAATATTAGAGTCCATGAGACAGCCCAGGATCTGTCCTCAAACACATCCTTTGAGGGGTGTCAAACTCATTTTCACTGGGGCCCACATCAGCCTTGCAGTCGCCTTCAAAGGGCAGAATATAATTTTAGGCTGTATAAATGTAACTGCTCCTTAACTAGGGACAAGGAGCTCGGTGCTGCCGCCAGGTAGAACCAAGGTGCTGGGCAGGATAAAATGAGGTGGAGGGCCGGATTCGGCCTGTGTGCCTTGTGTTTGCCATCTGTGGTTTGTAGTGAAATAGTTATAAAGGTCAGAAGA